TAAAAAGCAAAAAGTATAAAAGTGACAACAAACTCAACGGCTGGGATTGTTTGCTCGTCTGTTCTTTAATTAGTACGTTTAAATGTGTGCCTACGACTGGAGGTTTTTATCATATTCACTTCGATGTAATTACGTAAATGCACAAGTTTCACGTTGTAGAAACGTCCGGTCGACCAATTAATTCCTAATCGGTGATATTAGATGAAACTAACGCCAATTTTACATCGTTTATTTAAACTTTTTTTTTCCCCTAGCAACATGCTTCTTGTTTTTTCTTCTTTTCCAAACCAAATCTTTTAATCTTGTTGTCCTTTTATTCACGGTAGATTTTCGCTGATTTTATTCTGTCGGTCGGCCTTAAACGTTCGAAATTACAAAGCCTGTGTTACATGTTGTTGGCTGCACTAAATAACATAGCGTCCGATATCAATATTTTGTACGTCTTTTGGTGTGTTAACATTGACAAATGAGACAGATTTTCCGGTTTCTGTCTAGTCTCACTTTCCACCAGCTGCCGAGAATTTTTCCTTCATAGGTTATAATATACTACAATGTCTGGCGCTATCTTTTTTTTAAATTTTGCTAGAAAAGGAAATTTCATATGATGTAAAGAGACAAAGAAGAAGAACAAATTAAAGAAAACATATATGCGCAATGCAATCCATGAAATAAATAACAAAACAATATAATTAGTTGTTGTCGTCTAGAAATGATAAACCAAAATGTCTATCTCATTTGGGCTACAATTTCAGCCTGACTGATTCTGTTATTTGCATCTTCTTACAACTAGCATTGCAATGGGAATCAGAAAAGCATTTTAAATCCGGATATGCATTGAATTTATTGAAAATTGTTTCAACGAAAAAATCCCATTTGGATATACTACTGATTGTAAAGGAAATTATTGTATCTGTACTAGTGTACTCGTGACGTCAAAAATCTGTCAATTCTTATAAGGTTTTAATAACGACATACAATGAAAGATCTTGATACAGTGTACTGAGATTCAATAAAGAGGAGATAAATGTTTACAACTACCGTTGTATAAATCGCTTTTAGCTTGATATCATTTCATGTTAAATATTTATGAGTTTAAACTAACAGTGAAATAGAAATATCCATCGGAAGAAAAATATTAGCAACATAAAAACAAAGACGGCGACGACAAAGCCGATTGCAAGACCCATTTGAATCCATACCATCACTGAATAGACAAAAGATTCTGAGTAAGCCGCATGAAAGTCTTTAACAAATAAGACTTTAGTCGAAGAAATGGAGAAGTAAAGGAATACATTATTTAAAAGTTTCATTTTACCCTCAAAGAATTTTGTCTAAATGCAGATAAATATTTCATTTGCAAAGATTATTAAAATGCGTAGAAAAAATGATCAGTCATAAATTTACTAATTTAAGTTTATTTTCCCCCTTCCTACTACTGATGGGAGAGGGTTGATAAATAAATACATATTGATAAATATTTTATCGTTTGATAATTGATATATATATTTTTATATATATGTATATTTTCATATAGAAAAATAGATATAAAATGAAATATCTGTCAATGTTTCTCTCTCTCTCTCGATTAGCTATCTCCCGTGTGTGTGTGTGCGTGTGTATATATATATATATATATATATATATATATATATATATATATATGTGTGTGTGTGTGTGTGTGTGTGTGTGTGTGTGTGTGTTTGTGTTTGTGTGTGTTTCATTAAAGACCAGTGACAATGCCCTGCGATTAGATATTTTATTTAATGTTTCTTGTTTTATTGTGTGTTCTGTTTCTGGACATAAAATATGTAAAATTGCCCAAGTGTTCTCTCTCCATCTTTTACTCTCTCTTCCACTCTCTGTTTTCTCTCTCTCTACACACACACACACACACATATATATATATATATATATATATATATATATATATATATATATATATATATATATATATATATATATATATTTATATATATATATATCCAGAAAGAGACAAATATTGTTAAAGACAATAAACATGTTTTCTTTTTTGGGATAAAAAATGTGTAAAATTTCTTTATTCCTCTCTCTCTTTCTCTCTTCTCTCTCTCTCTCTCTCTCTCTATATATATATATATATATATATATATATATATATATATAGAGAGAGAGAGAGAGAGAGAGAGAGAAATATTGTTAAAGACAGCAAACATTTTATGCGGATTAATTTTACTAATCGACTTTTCGAAATTACTTAATAGTCCTTCTAAGACAAGGAGGAACTCCCGTCAGAAATTGTCCAGAATTCATTTTGAAAAAAAATAAGAGCCAGGTTTTCGAAGTCATCATTATAGAAGCTAAAGACAAATGCTGAGTTCCATAGAACTATTCAGTGTTTTGAGGTAGTACAAATGCTTTGTGACGTAGTAACCTTGGGACGTATGTCTGTGTGTATGTTTTATATATACATTTGTGTATGCGGGGTCTTAAACTGTAAGTGTAATTTATAGTATTTGCTTTTGTTATATTGCTTCAAAGGATAATGATTTTATTTTTACTATTTGATTTTTCGCGTATTTTATTGTTTGTTTGTGTGTAGTTGTATAATGATACCCCGATCAATATGTCGCTTATTAATGTGTTATATGATATAACACTGGTCTGTTTGGTGACAGGTGAATATCCGTGCGAGTGTGGTTGTGGTATAACCTATGTAAGAATTTTGTGTTTTATTTACTAAGAAAAACTTCTCCGTGTGTGCAAGTATTTTCATATAAAATGTTGTCTTATATAGTGGGTCGGAAGATTGGAATACATTGTTTTTAATAACTAATTTGGTAAGAAAAGAGTAATCTCGTTTTTACTAACACGTAAATCTATGAATGTAGTTGTTAATGGTCAGTCCTCTTAAATTCACGTGATCAAGGCTGGTACCCCCTCAACCCTACCCTTTTTTCTTCTTTATATTAACGATTTTCCTAAGAAGATTCTCAAATAATTATAAAGAAATGTGCATATGCCACCACGGTGTATGTTTGCACTTTGAAATATCTTGAATACTAGGACCTGGCATCTGATATTTTCTCTGGCCTAGCTCTCACTGTTCAATGAAAGAAAACTTATATGTAATATCCAATACAAAAAACTAGTATGATTTTAACACAGCCGAGCAAAACCTAAATTTGTTACAGTTCTGATGAACGGCATATCTGAAACTAGGTTCCTTGCCTCGAATTTCTGTTGGGTTTAAGGCACATTTCAATGTTGACGGAAAAATGACTGGTTTCGTGTACCGATCAACAAGAGAAAATTCATTACTGCAATACTCAGTCAAAAACAAAACAGCAAAGCCTTATTATTTTATAATTTATATCTACCAGAGTGCTTTTTTATATTATATACAATAATCTATATAATTGTTGAAGCTTGGATAAGCATGGAATAATAATAATACAACACAAAATGTACGTAAACAAAATGTATTGAAACAAGGAAAAAGTACACAATATTTACAGTTAGTTTTGGTATATTCTTGGGAAGACTGTTCCTGTAGAATGGGTCGACTTAATCGCAGTCGGGCAAAGTCTCTGGATTGGATCTCTTCTTACTTCCTCCATCGGCTTCCCTGTACCAACCCATATTTATATGGTCGGTACTCCACTATGTAAATTAGGTGGATCGTACCACAACAATAATAAATGCGAATGTCAGTGTATCACTGTGTCACACTTTTCAATTAAAGAGACACAACTCTCTAACTTTCAATAGCTCATCTTCTTCTATATAATAAATGCGAATGTAGTGTGTCAATTTGCCAAATTTTTTCTTTACTCCTAGGGACCGTACCCCAACATATACCATTTTGGAATCAAGCCGGCCTTGTGAGCAAATTAAAAAAAACACATTCCGGGGTGGATCCGGACCAGCAATCCTGAAATTTTGGATTCTCAGTTTCAATACTGCGATTATTTTTGGCGATATTTGTACGTGATATTTTGCGACGATTTTTTTTTTTGTATGAAACTAATTTTTTTAACTTGGAAATAAATTTAGGAATAACCGATATTGATTGCGAAATCCGGCGAAAGCCAACTATGAAATAAAAAAATAATTGTTTCTACGGAAAATACAGAACTACGTAAATTAAATCTTCATAATTTTTTTTTTTTAAATCATGCCACCCCAAGGAAGGCGAGCGTGCGCTTGTGCGCAAGTAGTTAGAGGAAGTAAAGTAAGAGAAAAGAAATAAGAAATATAGGGTGAATTGAGGAAAGGATACAAAGAAGAACGGGATTCAAGATGTTAGAAGACGACGATTGACATTACATTTAAATTTTTGAAAATTATAGCTATCAGAGAAGCAAGGAAGAGGCAGGGAGTTCCATTGTCAGGAAGTGTGAGAGAAGAAGTTGTTGGAGTAGGAGAGACGGTTAAAGTTAACTGTTTCAACAGTAAAAGGGTGGGACCGAGTTGCCAAATTAGTAGCATGCTTAAATTCATGCAGTCGGGGGCAACAGTGAAAATAACATGTCAGAGCAATTGCATGAAGATCATTGTAGAAAAGACAAAGGGAAGCAACATTACGTCTGTGAGAAAGTGACTAATCGAGATACCAAGTCCGAACCGATCACATTCCTTATCCGTCTTTGGATTTTGTCGAGAACTCAAGATGAACAGCGGGGGAACTAGACCATATATGGCAACAGTAAGCTTAAATGTTAATGTAATACTTAAATGCAGCGATCTATTTTCAGTTGTTCTGTTTTTTTTATTTTGCCTCTACACATTTTGCATCTCCCTATTTCTTGTGATGAAGGCCCAATGATGAACAGTTCACTGGAACTAGCTTAAATGCGGCGTGATAGTGCGTGTTTTAAGCTAGTTATGTATATAATACGAAAATTCTAATGTGGTTAATAGATAGATAGGTAGAATTAATTTATTGAGATATTTTTCAACAGAAACTATATGCAATATGGTAAAACACACATGATACTAAATAACTTATTCTACTATTCTTTATGATTTCATCTATCAATCAATCTCTCTCCTTCTCTCTCTCTCTCTCTATCTATCTATCTATCTATGTATATATATATATCACAGTCGATTCATATCTATATACCTATCAATATATCTATGATAGTCCGTTCGTATATTTCTATCTATCACAGTCGGTTCATATCTCTCTCTCTCCCCATATATATATATATATATATATATATATATATATAAAGAAATTAACAGTAAGAAATATAATCCGGTGTTCTTATAGATATTTTTATTTTTACAAAATAGTGCTCAATGTAAATTTACAGAGCATTAATATTATAAATTAAGCGATTTAAAATATGGTTTTTCGCTACACAGTTCTAACCATGTTTCAAAAATGGAACCTAAAAGCTTCGAATTTAATTTTGTAATTAAATTAAAGACATTAGTTCCATTTCATCCTCAAGCGAATTTTGAAGTAACCTTTAAAATTACTGGGTTTTAAAGGCACAACAAAAAATCATAATTCACGTTTCCAATATACAGAGAAATCTATTCATCCAGACAAAGGGGTGTTAGCAAAAAAATCTACTTTGTGGTCCTTTAAGGTTATGTAGCATTCTTTTTTTTTAAACTTAAAGGGCCACAGACCAGATTTTGTGGCTAATCCCACTAGAAGGATAATGAATCCTACAAGACTGGATATCGGAAAAATTAGTAAAATCATCCTTGAGAGGGTAAATAAAGAAATTAAAGAAAAAATAAGTCTGAAACTTTGGATTAATACCATGGAAGTGATAAACTGGTTTAGTTACATAAAAGAAAAAAAAACAATTGTACACTAATGCAGTTTGATATAGATAATTATTACCAATCAATATCTAAAGAACTATTTATGAAGGCGTTGGACTTTGCCACCCACTATACGGATATTACAGATGCAGAAAAGAACATTAAGGTTAATGCGAAAAAATCGGTACTGATACATAAAGGTGAGCAATGGATAAAGAATTCACATGACCACTTTGACATCACAATGGGATCACTAGACTCAGCTGAGTCTTCTGATCTCATAGGCCTTTTTATATTATACAACCTTACAGCGCTATTAATATAACTGATATTGGTTTGTACAGAGACGATGGTCTTATGGTTATTAGAAACTCAACTAACTTCAAAATAGATAAAGTTAGAAAGGTATTATATAAAGAATTTAAAATCATGGGCTTAAAAATTACGCTTAGCACTAAAGTAAAAATGTGAACTTCCTTGATATAACATTAGATTTAAATTAATATACATACACACCTTATAAAAACCCAATACCAATCCTTTATATATACACCCTAAATCAAATCACCTCCATCTATAATTAAACATACACTGTTATCTATCAGTAAAATAATAAGTACAAATTCAGCAAATGACAAGATTTTCGATGAGCATATCAATTCCTATAATAGAGCTCTAAAATAATGTGGCTACAAAACCCAAAAAATAACTTATATAAAAAATGGAAATAGAAAGCATAGAAAAAACAGATGTAGAAAAATAATTTGGTATACGCCGCAATTCACCCAAATGGTAAAGAACAAATTAGGGAAAAGATTCCTCACATTAATAGTCAACCATTTTCCTAGTGAAAGTAAACTAAGTACTATTTTCAATAAAGACACACTAAAATTGAGTTACAGCTGTAGGTAAAACTTTAAAAAAAATTATTAAGAAACATAATGCTAATATCTTAAATAAACACTTATACCAAAACCAAAAAAAAAATAGACAATGGGAAAATAAAAATAAAAACTGACGAGGGTAAACAAAATTATATAACTCTAGAAACCCTGATAATTGACCTGTACAAAACAAAATGTCGCACAGAATCATTAGTATATCAATGCAATATCTCTTCGATTGAAAATCCTGAAACCATAAATGTATATATATAGGTTGCACTAGCCATGAGTTCAAAAAAAGTTTCAACCAACATCAAAGTTCATTTAGGATTAATAAATATAAAAATCAAACATGTCTCTCGAAGTACTTCTGGTACCTAAATGAATCAAATAAACACCTACAGTAAAATGGAAGTTAATAAGAAAAGCTAGAATATGTAGGTCATTAAATGACTCATGTCCTTTGTGCATACATGAGAAACTATATATTACTAAGTTTATAAAAAATAAAAATTTACTGAATCAGAGAAAGTAAATAGCGATTTCATGTCGTCATTGTCAAAAAGTTTCCTTAAATAATATCTAAAAATAAAAATAAATTTAAAAAGTGCAACCAAGTAATATACATACTTATATTTAATGTGAAAAAATAATTTTATATACTGTAAGTAATTCTATTACATTTACTTGTTTAAATAAATTTTAAAAAAATATAGTCTATTAAAATAACAGTGAAAATTGTAGTTGTATTTAAAACTGTAGTTAAAACGAATTCTAACCTAAACATTTTTTAAAATTGTAGTAAAATAAAACGTATTCTAACCTAAGCACCTCTATCAAAGTACTACCGGCACTTAAATGAATCCAATAAAACACCTACAGAAAAATCTAATTATGATAAAAAGCTAGAAGATGTACGCCATTGAATGATCCATGTCCTTTGTACATACATGAGAAACTATATATTAATAATTTATAAGAAATAAAAATTTACTAAATCATAGAAATTAATTAGCTATTTTTGCCGTAATTGTCATAAAGTTTACTTAAATAATATTTAAATATAAATTTTCAAAAAAATATTGTGACCTGGTAATATACATACTTATACTTGATGTGGAAAAATAATTTTACTTACTGTAAGTAAATCTAATTCCTTTACTTATTTTAAAAAGAAATATAGTCTATTAAAATTAACAGTGAAAATATTTTAAAGTTGTATTTAAAATTGCAGTTAAATAAAACGAATTCTAACCTAAACATTTTTTAAAATTGTAGTTAAATAAAACGTATTCTAACCTAAACACCTCTCTCAAAGTCCTGCAAGCACTTAAAAGTATCCAATAAAACACTTACAGTAAAATGAAATTAATATGAAAAGACAGAAGATGTAAACCATTGAATGACCCATGACCTTTCTACTTACATGAGAAACTATATATTACTGGATTTATATAAAATATATAAAAAATAAAAGTTTACTAAATCAGAGAAATTAATTAGCTATTTTTGTCGTCATTGTCAAAAATTTTACTTAAATAATATTTAAATATAAATTTAAAAAAATTGTAACCTAGTAATATACATATTTATACTTGATGTGAAAATAAATTTACATACTGTAAGTGATTGTAATACATTCTCTTGTTTTAAAAAGAAATATAGTATATTAAAAATTAAAGTGAAAATATTATAAAAATTGTAGTTAAATAAAACGTATTCTAACCTAAACACGCCCCCCAAATCTTTAAGTATACCAATAGCAAAAAATGCCGTAAGAATTTTTGCCGTTAACAATAACATTTTTTTAAAAATTCAGACAACATGCATTTAACGGATGTCAGAAATCACTGAAAAATACATCCCTACCCCTACCAAAACATAACTAATAACTGATACATCAAAATACAGCGATAATGAACACCGAAACACCCCTTGTTTTGTTGAATAGATTTCTCTGTATCATTGGAAACGCGAATTATGATTTTTTGCTGTGCCTTTAAAACCCAGTAATTTTAAAAGTTACTCCAAAATTCGCTTGAGGAGGAAATGGAACTAATTCGAAGCTTTTAGCTTCAATTTTTGAAACATGGTTAAAATTGTGTAGCGAAAAAAACATATTTTAAATCAATTCATTTAAAATATATATATATATATATATATATATATATATATATATATTGCATTCGTTTTTCATTTTGCCTTATTTTCCTACCAATATAACTTCCTATATTTTAGCTTCCTCATTTCCACGATTATTTATTTGTTCATTCTCAACCATTATTATTTCCAAATATTCTGTCGTTCTTTTTCTGGTCCAGAGAATGGAGCAGGCGATAGTGTTAGGACAGCACAGATATCAAACGCATTTGCGACAATCTATTTAAATTAATTTTGTTGACGTTTTCTACATGACTTATGAAAGTTTTCTTTTTATTTTGGCAACTCAACACTCGCATAGTATTTTGTAAGTAAAAATAATTGTTGTTAATTTTTAACCATTAAAAGTAAATATATCCAAAGAAAGGTAGTACGAAGGGAAATAACTGAATTTATTACCAATCTTACATCTATGATATCTTATCGTAATTTTGTGGTATTGAGAAGCTCGTAAGGATAAGCATAACTATCTAAGCGGGCATTGTTCTCATATAAACATCAGCAGCAGCAGTCTCTGCTTATGCATCTTACACAATATATTTTTTTATTAACTTAGTCTATGTTGTGGTGTTCTCCCTCTAAAGGGTATATGTTGGTCTCTTCCGCCTACTATAAGATTAGGAGGAGAGAAAGCCTTGGGGAAACAGTCGAATAGAATGAACGCAGGGTCAACCGACGCACACTCACTAGTCATGTCATATTCTTCTGTTTAATATATGATATATATGTAACACTTGTTTTGGTATTTCATTAACCATTTACTTGGTCACAACAATTTATTAATTTTTTAAAAGAAACTGTAAATGATATTTTTATTGGAGTTGTTTTGTTTTATTTTAGATAATTAAATATCTGTCGAGCAGCATAGGAATTTGTATGTGTTCATGTTATAACGTTGGTAGAAAGTGAGCGAGTGTCATCTGTAGCAGCGTATTAACATCAAGTTTTGTACGAAGCCTGATTAAAATGGCTTGTGCTGAATGTGCTATGTAGAAACTAACTGTTTCTGTAGAACAAGCGGTTCAATTACAGGCGGTAATATGTGCACAGTGTCAGAAGATGTCGATAGATTTAAACACAAAAAATGGATGCAAACGTAGACAGCTCGCATCTTTTATGAACTCTTTTATGACCCCCGAAGATTATGCGTTTAATTGAAAGCAGAAATCGGAAAATAAATAGGGATCTGGGTGGTAGGTTCGGAGAGAGAACATGGCAAGGTGAAAATGTAAGCATTTGGAGTTTGCAAATACCTGGAA